TCTTTCCCTGTCATGTCCCCCAATCACCCTCTTGAAGTTACTTGCTTTTCCCACATAACAGGATTTTTTCAACAGCCTAACTCCTCTTGAGCTAAGCTCCTTGAAAATTTTGCATTGAGAGTTGAGCTGGTAACCTGTTCCCTGTGGCTGTGAGGAATTTCAAAACAATGCTATGAGCTCTGATCTCAGTGGAGTCAGGTGGTTTTCATTTAATTAACAAACTGGGCCAAGAAATGCCCCAGCATCAGCTTTAACCAACATATGAAACATTTGTGTAAAGGGGAAATAACAGAGGAAAGGCTTTTGTCTTTGCATCTCCCCAACAGCACAGATCTTCACAAACAGTGGTCTGGGGGATTAGTGCTATTTAGGGTAATGTTTCTGTTGTTCTCTTTTGTAATAACCTGTTACAGCTCCTTCTTTTCCTACAGCTGTCTGGCACCCAGATAATCTGAGTAAAAGATAGTCTCTAGTGTTAATGTTACCCCTGTTGAAAAATCATGTAGGTTCCAGAAATTACATGCATGCTACCAGAGACCTTTGACTCTTCATGCTTACCATGGGAAATACAGTAAGAGATAGTAAGTGAGGTTCTGTCCCTCCTGAAATCAATGGGGAACCTTGCACTGACATCAGTGGGGCTGGGATTGCACCCAACAAGGAACAAGCACAAGCCACCCTTTTCAGAGCCAACTAAAATAGTCCTCATGGTTATGCTGTAGGGCCCAATTTTAGTGAGGGCCTGTCTCTAGGTTAACTTTCTGAGCCAGAACCTCAGCACCTGTGTATCAAACTAACTCCACTGCCCTCCAGGGAGCTATCCCCATTTACACCAGCTGAGGATCTCACCAGCCATAATTGGAATAATTAAAACTTTTGCAACGGAGTGACTTTGTTAAGGCCCCTGATTTGCTCTGCTGAAAGTGATTTGTTCTATGTGAAAAGGCATTACCTTCCCAGTGGATCTGGCATTATCTTTTCAGAAAGTGTTCATTGAAAAAAGCACTTGAAACTTGAGAGGGAGAACAAAATCATTCCCCCTGCCAATATGCTGCATTATAGTCTTCCTGAGGGGCCTTGGCCCAGTGACTTACCTACCTGTGCCTCAGAACTCTCTCAATCAAAGAAGGATATTAACATTTCCTTTCTCCCATTCTTTTTTCTGACTGATCTAATTAGAGTGGAAGCCCTTTGGAGGAGGGACTGTCGTTTTGCTTTGTGCATCTGTACAATGCCTGGCACAAATGAGGCCTTTGGGTGCTTTAGGCACATGAATAAGCAATAAAAAGAAGAACCCTTGAATTACTTTACAAGATTTAAATATGCAGAAGTCATTTCACCCAAGCACTGTCACTTCTGATGTGGAACACAATGGTTTAGCAGCATGCAATCACACCACTCATTCAGCGGGAAGTTAAGAATACTATTTCATACTGACACTGAAGGAGGAATTTTCTGGACCATAGGTAGACTCTAATTTTCAAAGTGAAATTTGGCCAGGCTATCAGAGTCTGTACTCATATGTAAAATGGCCAGGATCATATGATAAGTCTGTATCAGGGATTACATGAATTGCAGATGTGACTTCAGAGTGCATGCCTCTCATGGTATGGCCCAAGGAAGGAGCAGAGGCTTCTTCTAGTAAGTCACCAGTCCCAGCCAATTCTATGTTACTGTCATCGTTCAGGAGTTAGGTTCCACTGGTAATGAGCTCTATAGTAGAGGTTCGCAACCTTTTTAGAGTCAAAGTACCCCTTGATAGATTCAAGGCACCCGATGGAAAATGCCAGCTCTTAATTTGTTTTCTGACTACAGAAAAATAATAGAGCAATTATTCTGTTATAAAGAACTGAGAGAGATCACAGCAGGTCAGAATGTTCCCCATTTGAAATCTCTGGGTTTATCTTGTGAATTATGTTGGCACACCTAGGAGTGCTAACATTGGGTGGCATCCTACAGCACCCTTGGAAGGATCTCAAGGCACACTTGCTGTGGCACCCTGGTTGAGAATCATTGTTCTATATACACTCTTCTTTTAGGCTGGCATGTACTGAGGAGAAGGTAATAAAGCTCCCTGTTGCTCCATTATTGTTTACCTAAGTCTCTTTTCCAAATCATCTTGGTCTTGCATGTTTTTCTTTTTAATTCCATCATCCAATTCATGATTGTATAAGATGTGACCTTTAGCACTTGGGGCTGCTTCACGTGGGGAAGAATGTTTCAGAATCATTTAGATTCCTGCTCATTAATAGTGTGATCTTCTTTTTCTCTGTAGCAGAACACTTCTCAGAACTAAACCTAGGTGATTTCTGGCAGTCCATTCTCCCTCTGACCTCATCACAAGTTAATAAAACTGCTCATTCTGCATAGATGTCTTTTTACCATACCACCCTCAGCCAAAACACCTACAACTGGTTCTTTGTTGCTTCAACAGTCCAATTCAAAATTATACCTATTCCTCAAATCCTTGGCTATGTTTGCCTGGGCTCAGCCCAGGTCAGCAGAGGCAGCAGCTGCAGATTGCTTATTTTGTCACAGATCTTGTTCTCAGTAGACAGTAGAGTAGCTCAAATGCTGTTCTGTCTTGAAGTGGGCTGCCCAGGGCTCCATGGGGATGCTTTGAGAGTCAGGGGCATGAGAAGGACGGGGTTTAGTACAAGTGCAAAGCCAGCTCTGCACTATAGGGAGCTTTCCCTAGGCAGGAAAAGTTCTTCCAAGATTGTACTGTTCCAGCTACTTTTTGCTTCTAGAATTGCACAAGACAGCCTGAGTGATGGTCAGGATCTGACCCTTTTAACTCATATGTGACTCTTTTTTCTTTCAACTGTAACTTGTCCCTTTATAGACTCTCACTCTTT